CCATTCAGATTTCTGATCCGTAACTCACTCACTAGTTAATCATAATATGGAATAAGTCTCGAAAGTTAGGCCCAGATTTCGACAGAGCTCAACTTGTTAATGAATAACTTTGTAGCCCCTAATGACTTGCTTACGCATCAATCTTTTAGAAAGGTAATCCTTACTAGTCCCCGACCCTACCTTCAAATTACTTGAAGGTTACCTCTACTGAGGATCCACTCGGATGTTTGGGGTGAACATTGTCTTCCCATTAAAATACGAGAAAATAGGATTTTCATCCTTTTAGAAATCTTTTTAAATAACTGTGTAACGCTTTTCCCTTGGCGATCCCTTTCCACACCCATACCACCTTAGTCCTACATCCCCTATCATATGATTCTTCGTCAGGCGCCAGGTGACTTTTGTAACCGAGTGCCACCCCTGGGCGAGACCGGTCTTTTAATCGGCGGCTCGAAGAAACCCGAAGGTATAACTAATAGGGAATTTTTTTTTGTATAATTTTCAATAACTGGCAGCCCGGTTGCCATTGAGTTACCAATCTTGAGCCATGACCCATCATTCTAATTTTTGTCCCACTTAATCTATACCTCGTTATATAAGGTTATGGGTGCATTTAACCCCATCTGCTTCCACGTGCCATACGTAATTCATTTAATTAATTGAATATGAAATGATACCGGGCGTCGCCTGGCAGCCAGACTCCGGCCGAGTTTCAGCGCCAAGTCTGACCCCATATTACCATCCCAGGCTTCCACCGAGCCTGAGCACCGATCTGGCAGAGTATTGGGTCCCAACCTTTTGGAGGATTGACCGTCAATCTCGAACGAAACCTTATCTCTTGCAAATATTATATTAAAGAGAGAGGTAGACAGACCTGGCTATAGACTGTGACGAGGCCGAATTTTATGACCCCTATATATTATTGATTAGGTGTTCTGCCACCGTTGGACAACCCATTCCTCCAAATATCCTCCTCCCGCCGCCACCCCTCCAAGAATCCACGGACGTTGCTGCGATGGATGGTGAACTCCCCTCATGATATCTCACTCAAGGAACCGTAACAAGACTCCCAGATCCCCTAGACACATCCAAGAATACTCCCTGACCATCCGATAACTCCCGAAATAAGGTAAATCCAAAATGAGGAAATGAGGATGATTGATAGATATCACTCGTGCCATAGCTGCGCCATAAGTCACTGCCCCGTTAAAGTGTCAAGATTTCTAAAGGAAATTGTGTAGAGTGTATGGAGGAATTTTAGACGCTTGCTTTGAGTCGAAGTAGGAGATATTTTTTTAGGAGTTGAGAGACTTCTCGGGTAGACCTATGTGAGAGATTTGTTCGAAATATTTTTGGGAAAACTATTGTGAGAAGTTTATTGTGCCCTTTTGGAGGATTTGGATTCGTCTACTCAGGAAGGAGGAAAGGATTAGGAAAATTGGAGGAAAAAGCCTAGATGATTCTGTCGACGTCATTCCCCGTGCCCCTTAATCCGGAAGGGTAAAAGATGTCGGTCGTATAAAAATTATCAGAATAATTATAATTTTTATCATTTGTATAGACAATTTGTTCTTCGTCGTGCATAAATTACTAGACGGAATGGTAAAATTTATATATGATTTTTGATTGATTTTTCGGGTAGAAATCAGATGAAACATTTCCGTCATACGCGCTTGTCTTTCTGGAGTGAAAAGATGTTTTTTGTCATTCAGTCAGGGAAACCGCGTTTTAGGGCTGCTGCGCAGCCGTCAAAGGCTGGTCACCAACTAAGAAACAATATATAGTTCGTCGTTTGGCCGAAAAAAAAATCTTCTCTAGATCACGTTTGCATTCCTCGCACTCGCGATCGCCAGAAAAATTCCAAACGGTCTAGTGACTAAATGTACTGCATTTACACGGCAAAAAATCTTCATAGTCGGAGCAAATTCTTTTTGGCTTTCAATCATGATACAGAAAATTCCAATTCTTGTGTCAAATTCGAAGCGTTCAATTTATATCACCATCGTGCTACATGAAATTGGATGAGTTGTAAAACCATATGCATCATCTCAATACCAGAATTTATTTTTTTCAGTGTATGGCAGACAAAATTACTAATCTTGATACATTAAGAATCCTTGTGGACCGCCAACTCCAAATCATAGAATTTCTATTTAGGGGTTGATTTTATATTTCCAGAGTGTGAAATAATTCATACAGTTTGAAATGTTGAGTGCACATATTAAAAGTACAGTTTTTGTATTGTTCAATTCATTCACAGTAGATAGCAGAATCGCTAGACAGTACAGTAGTGATTTCAAAGTGCATACCTTCCTTGTCAGTATTTGAACAATTCTACTCCGAAAGGTTTTCAATTGTGTATGTGCAGGGTGTAACGTTAACCTAGTGCTTCTACCATTGTCGTGAACATTCATACTACTCCTTCCACATTTTATCTCACTTGAAATTCTATTAATTAAACCAAACGACGAAGTGTTATTCAATTATAATTTTTTTTCAAAGCTATATACTCGTTAATTATCGAATCAAATTCAGCCATTCATACATTCACAGAAAAGTTATCTTTGCGGGAAGTAATTAATAAAGTACAGAAAGTCCCATTTCTTGCCTTTGTTTTTCAATAGTTTCAGTTACTTCTTGATTAGACAATTAAACTGCCATTTATCCAATATTATGTGAAGGATGTTTAAACGCACAACCTAGCAACCGTAAAATAAAACCGGAAATGAAATTTAAAAATTTAAATAAATCATTTACCGTATAAATAATTTTTTCCATCAATTTACAACCTTCATGGCATACTTGTCGGTTGAAATTATGAAAAAATATAGAAAATGGTTATAAACATGGACATATATCACTAACTACTGTGGTACCACTTCAGGTTCAATCGTGCAACACCGCAGTTCGCGAGGTGCTCCGCCATCACTGTTTCATCGTCGTCTACCCTGCCGACATTGCTCGGCTGTAAGAGCAACGTTGTCAATTTTTTAGCATCGTAAGGGCGACCACTTTGTTTCAGATATTTTTAAAAATCAATCAGAAATTTCTCATATGTTGTATCGGGAACCCTCATTTTTTCGCCGGTAAAATACTCCCGACATTGTCAAGTAAATGAGTAAATGGATTTTTTTTAATGATGTTGAGCGCGTATTCTAGTATCCTTTCCAATCAAAACTAACGGGGTCACATTTTCTCATAAGACTCTGTGTTACAGACAGGTATTTTTACTAATTCTTATTCCGCTCAAATGGACCGAGGGGGGGGGGGGATGTGATAGTCTCAGCTACTATATTAAAAGAATGTAGACTGTTTTGACTATTCTCTGTATCGGTTGAACATCCCTGAATGGAATTGAATATTTATTCGTTCAAGGTGATTGATGATGTTGTTGGTGAAAAATGCCACTAACGAAGTGCACATGCCATTGAGTGGATCATTGAAATCAGCAAGTACTATGTGGATCAGGCTCGAGTTGATTCATAATTTTCAGTCCTTCACAAGCTTAATGCGGAAATGATTTTTGTTTATGTTACCCAAATTTGTTATAAAATTTTCGTTAATAAACCATGGATTTCTATTGAAAATACGTAATATCAACAATAACAAGGAAAAAAATTCTCACCCGCCCTATACAGAAATTCGTCGTTAAGTTGCCGTTACTGATATTGTTCGAATTCGAATTTCAACAAATACTTCTACATTGCCTCCTACATGTCCTGTTTTCTTAAACGACTTTCCTTGAAATCTGCTAGCTTAGTTTGAAGCTATCTTAATTGCACTATGACACACCAAATTGCCGAAAAACTGAATATAATCCAGTGGAAAAATAAATACAATTGTTACAAAAGTTCATCCTCCTGAATTAGCGCTTTAAAGTATTTGTCTAATAACGGCCGTTCCGAAAAATATATGGAAGAAAAGCTATTTGTCCCGGCATTTTGAACTGTACGACCTGGGTAACTACTTATAACAATGAAATCAATCATTTTATCTTTGAACGCCTTTTTCACACAGCTGCATTTTTTTTAATTTGCTGGCATCATCACCCAATAACAAATAATCCCATCAACTTGATTTTTTTGCTACGTATCTTATGTATGTTTCTCCTTATAAAGCCTTTTATATGGATATACCAATACCCAATAATTATACCAATACCCATATCGTTTATGTTTCTCCATATAAAGCCTTTTAGGTTTATGATTATATGAAAAATGTAATTTGCGCTTCCGAGTCATCATTAGATTTTTCAGTAAAATGTTAGAAAAATTTTCAGTAAAATTTTATGATTTGGTTGAATTACTTGTTTTTAAATGTGGATTATTGCATATGTAATACCTTCTAATTAAACTGATTGTTTATTCTATTACGGACTCTGAAAGCCACGACCCGTTGCAGCAGTGGTATTCTTCAGAAATTTAGGGGATAGCGAATATAACGTAGAAAATTACAGTTTAAAAAACTGTATTATGCATTATTATGGAGAGCGTTTCATGCACGAGCTTTAGAAAACAGATCCTCAACCACGTGGAGATGAGGATTGCAGACACAGGGAGGAGGGTGATATGTTTATCATGGCGAGACGTGAACTTTGTTTTTCATATCGTGAGGCCGGAAAAACATAAATTTCGTTCAGTACTACGTAAACGGGCGTTGTCAGGTCCCATAATCCGATAAGATAATTTTTCAATATCATCCTCGATTTCAATTATGTTGATCTGCACGCAAGACATGAATGTCGATAAATTTTTGGCATATTCAGAAACATTCAGAACCAAGTCATTAGTAGCGTTGAAGTTATTGGTAATTGGGCCGTATATATATATGAGTAATCATCTAATTGGTCCCGGAGATCTTATGGGATGAAGGCTCACAAAAAAAAATATTCAGATGGAGGAATATCCAACAGAAGAAACTCTTTTTTAATTTTGTCTACCATCTACTATAGTTTACGAACCACATAAAATGATAATGGAAAATATAAACGTCACTTATACCGAAGGATTGGTGAGTACAAGTACAGCAGCTCTCAGATGCTTCAAGTTTAATGTCTGCGTATCCTCCTGGTCATCGATCTCCTCTCCCAGCAACGATGACGTGATCTGCACTGATGATTGTCTTGATGGTTTGAATCTCTCATTTTTTCTTCGTTCACTATCTCCAGTTCTCTCTATTTCATCATCGTTGTCCTCCTCCATTCGACCTCTTCCATACCCACGTGAAAATGGACATGCCATGCTGGATAGACAATTTCACTGATTCCAGAATCCACGATTTTCCCAATGTGGGAGGCGTCGAAATAAAGAACCTAGTGGATGGGAAGGAAATGGAGGTCAATGTTATCTTCGCTGTGAAAGGGAAACCAATATTTTTAGCGTGTCATAGCCGCTGATTCTTTCACTCCTACTCAATATGCCAAACGAAAGTGCCAGTCGACGCCCAATCCTGATCAAAATATCTTCACCAATCGCACTAATTATAAATAGTCAACAATACACACACGACTCATCTGCAGGTGCCAAATATCTGTATTACAGACGTCATTTCGTTCGTCAGTATTAGACATGATATTGACGTACACTGTCGAAGGATTTATTTGCCATGAATTCCCATCTTTCCGAGAGGGTAAATCCTCACCGATTAAATACTCAGTCAACGTCGCTTCCCACCGCAATTCCCACAGAAGGAGCACGAGGTTAACTATGATACCCCACCAGTTTTCTTCACGCACGTCTTACGCCTACTCAAGTGTATGTTTCCTTGCATTTAGGTTTATATCACTTCGAATCACATTTTCTCCTTATATCCCGTTGTTTATTTCTTTCATCCTCATCCTCACGTATTTCCATTTGATATTGACATGGTAATTTCAGCTGTCAACATCAAAATATTTCGGTAGTAACTCCTGTGTAATCTTGACCTTTTTAATGGGAATGAGACAAATATAATAACCCACATTCATTAACTTTATTAAACCGTAATTGAAGAGGCCGAACTACGAAGGATATCGTTTTAGGGCGCGTAGCGCCATACTGGTTGAGAATTGAGCTAGGTGGCCAGCAGCGCCAAGTCTGGGGTTACCGGGGTAGGGCGAGGGTGGGAGTGAAGCGGGGAGGTCATCTTTAGTGGTTGAAGCAAGATGGAATGGTTCGATCGTTTGCGACTGCGTGGAGCTACCCAAACGGGATGTGACGCTCAGGCAAATGCACGAAGGGGATGAAATACGCGAGTGGTAGAGAGAGTTCAGAAAGTACTACTACAGACGCAGAGAAACCCTTCACTACCATACAATAGTCCCGCGTGACTTCTATGAGCACCCGCCAACGTGCTCCTCACCTTTGCCCTTCAGCAATCCAACTCTCTTCTGCCTCTCTCTCTCTCTTTCTCTCAATCTTTTCCACCCCTTTGCTGTTTGTTCCTTATTCGGTTAGTTTTTATGCGATATTTTGTATGCTCAGATATATTTTCGTTTACGCGGAATCCCACTTTTTCAGGTAAATGCCTAATATAGTTTATCCAGAATTAACTATCATTGGAATATTAATTACTGTGATTCATTGACGGGTGGCCCCTTGTTACTTACAAGGGTGGGTTAGGTGATGAGAGTGATGATGAGGGGATAGGGAGATGTTATTGGATATCGTAAGATGCTCCGTAGGATATCCCTTAGTCACTCCAGAACTACATTAGACCCTTCAACCCCCTTTCGCTATTGATGCAATGAGTCAGTGAATAATATTCAATATAATATAAATTCAATATAATAGGTGTAGGGAAGGTGCGCAAGTGTATCACTCATCGGGTTTCGGTCAGCGTTGGTTGGTAGTCAGGGTTGTGGCATTACCTGAAAATTCATTCATCTTTTTGTATGTCTATTCTTTTTAAGTGTACCAACATGTGTTGAAGGTGAGTAGATAAGCGAAACAGTTAGAGTACGCTGTCTATGGGCGGCCCAGTAGCGAGTGAGGGACAGTGAGCAGTCAAAAAAACTCAGACAAATCCGAAAAAATAACCCTTACAGGAAATAAACCGTGACAGAGAAAAATGGAAAAATTGAAAAAAAAATGAGAATTGACAACAAGACCACTTAGCTCGACTGTTTGAGAGCCAGGTGACCATGCAGCAGCTGCAGTTGATGAGGAGAGACAGTTGAAACTCTCCGGCAGGTCGGTATGGCAGGTCACTGAAGCGGTGCAAGCTGAACTGATTTGCACCGTTGCTGGTCTTTGGAGCCGCTTTGAGCTAAACCGAAGATTGGATACTACTGGTGAAATTGACGTTGTACTTGCACTCCCGAAAAATCCCGAGGAATACCCAAAAACTTAAACAATATTCCATGAATCTAGCTCGAAGAACCAATATAAGTTCAATGTTCAATATAAGACCTGGGTCGGGTGCAAATTTACAGAGGATGGATTAGGTCAGGATGGATTTTTCGGGATGTATTGAGCGGGTCCAATAAATCACTGCATGCAATTTTTATAAACTTTTAGACTTTTGGGAAATGACCGTCTCGGAGTTTTTCTATTTCAAAACTCATTTTATTTGGAAATATGATTTTTCTTTTTATATCTGCAATAGAATGCCATTCAATGACAAAACCTTTTACAGGTTGGGTATTTTCTAAGATATTTGCAAAAGACTTATCAGAAACAATCACCGATATCTCGAAAACCACTCGACCGATCGAACGCAAATTTAGTCGGGTGCAAAATCGGAGTTGGTCAATTGAGTTCTTTGACGATCGATCGCAGGGGTTGGCCAGTCGATTCTTGAGGAACACCGAATGAGAATTGAATGCATGGAGAAGGATATCGACTTCATATCTTATATTCAGCATTCAGTTATAACAGAAAAAGATTCGGCTAGATCTCCATCAGTTAAACGAGTGAATGGTTATTTATATATCAGTTATAGAGTTGAAATGTTGTTGTTGAAGTTAAATTTGAAAAAAATTTATTGATGGCACTCATCACTGTTTTATCTTCTGGATTTTGTAGAAAAAATATCTCAACAATTTTTTGGAAAGGGCTTTTTTATTGAGATGGTTGAATGGAATAATGATACACATAGAATTTCCTGAAATTTTAAATATTCAGAAGTCTCACCATATTAGGATTACCAAACATTTACTCTGGGAAATCTCGGATGGATATTGGCCCGCATTATCCTTCTATCGCCTTTCTAATCGGTTGATTCGATTGGTGTAACAATTATTAACTATGTTGATATAATATCCAGAAATTATCTTCCTGTTATTCTGTAAAGTTGAAACAATGTAATCTGCTCTTGGTCCGCATTCCACAACTCCTGCAGTTCTAAATGACCAAAACATATCATGTGATTCATCGATCGGATGCATTTCAAAAACGATTCACTCTATCTCGGAATACTTCCTATGACGTCTGTCCGCATATAATGGAATCCATCCGCATGCCATGTCAATCCACTTATCAGTCGGAATTGACGTACCAAATGACCAGTCGAGAATGATTAGATTTTTCTGCATTCAGCAATACCCGTGACGTCGATCAGTATTGATCCTGAGAGCTTTTTCGTATACATCTCGTGAAATACAGAACGGTAACACAATTATCTGTGATTTTAACTGAGTTTATAGCTGCCTGACATATATCGGTAATCTTCCGGAAAAAAAGTTGAATGATGATAATAAACATTTTTTAAGTGTTGAATACCGCGGTTCTATTTTTATGCATTTCCAATGGTGCAATTGAGGGCGATAATGAGGTATCCTTTTTTGTCTCACACATTTTGTACTTACCATTATATCTTCCTTAATCATCTCAATCCCGGCCACATAGTATAAAACCCAAAAATTCCAATCGCAATAGAAGTAAAATCTTATTTCAGTATGATAAAAATGGTTATATAGAGATTAAAAACCGTAAAATCACGAACATTATAACTGCCACGTAATCCATAAAGGACGAGCATTTAATTTTCCAGCTAATTTTATTTACTATTTATTTATTTTTACAACTATTTGGATTAGATTCTGAGTAGATCAACTTGATCTGAAATGGAAATACCCGTCTGTATTTATTCTGAGCAAGTGCCGATCAAGTGGGCCTAATCAATAATGATTCTGATGAGGGTTTGAATTATGTCGACATGAACGCAATTATTAACTGATTATTGTTATTATTATTTGAAGTATACTAGATGGAATTTCAATGGAAAATCTTTCTATCTTACTTTTCTCACCACCAAGTTTCTGTCGAATATCTCCACTACTCTTGCGTCATGACGCAGGACATCATGGGCCCGAATAAACTTTGGGGCTTCAGACAATTTCGCCTAATGGAGGTCGGGAGCGGGAGTAGCTCCGAGAGCTGAGGTTGCGCACCTCTGGGTTAGGGTACAGGATTAATACTCATAAGGTCCCCGGCTCGTACGAATCCGTCTTGTTCCATAAAACCCTAATCCGGCACGCCCGATCAAATCCGGATTGAATCAAGGCGGCACATGCTTGATGAAGTATTGATCAAGTTGTAGGATCAGTACGTGATCCAACATCAAGCCTGCCTTGATCCGGACAGGCAAGCGAATAACAATTAATCACAAGTTAAGGAATAACAAATGAATCCAGTAGCGGAATGGTGAAAGGAGATAAGTCATTTTTCCAAAAATTGGGTTTATTGTTAATTGCTTGGCGGTTTGATTTTGCCAATTGTCACGGCAGAATTTTGCAACAAAAAATTATATTTTCATATATTTTTCTGAGCAATCTGAAAGAGATATGTGTATTAAGTTTGTCTGTCGAGATATATGTTGAACTGTAAATTCAACATGTATTCAAGATTTAAGTTTTTCCAGGAGATAAATTACCCGACCGAAAATTCCGACAGGGGTCGCACTAGGGCGTAATAAGGTTGCCAGAGGTTGTATTTAAGGCCTCAATCAGGCAAAAATAGGCACATCACTGAAAGGCATAGTTCAGGGCGTAACGCTTCGGTAAATCAGGTCCACATGTTTTTTGCCGTACACCGAGTAGATAATCTCTGTCCCGTACGACCCTGATAACTCTCGACAGAGACGGGCCTAATGATACCTCTTGGGCAGGGCTAAATAGGTAAACTAATTGAGGGGTGAATAAATAGGATTAAAATTAAGGCCCTTACTGATCCCCTTCGAATAACCCGATATTTGTTTTACTCATGGCATTGGTCAGGGAATCCGTTTACGTTATCAATAACTGAATGCATCCAAAATTTTGATCATTCAGGGGTAATAATAATTGTCATTTTGAAAAAAAAACTATTCTGACCAACGAAACTAATGCCATACACCTTTCTCGAAAATTGTACCTTTTTTTTAAGAAATAGCCAATGAACTTATCAAAAATTAACAGGAATAGAAATTAGTCATGTTTTGTCAAGAATGGGTAGCTTGACATTAACGCTGATCCCTCATTTTACGAATAATTAATCATAGTAGGAGTAGGCCGGAACTAAAGGTGAAAAAGATTAATTCGACAGGGGAGAAACCGAATCCTGTATTAGGAAGAATAATTTAAAAATTACCCGATTAAAAATTAAAGCTGCTCTCTTTTTAGCGTGGTACCTTTCAACCAAGGGCACGGATGGGAATAATACGGGAAAATAGACTCTAGGTTCGTGAAATAACAAAAAGTTGTTTATAACTCTGACTGACTCTGTCGAGTCTATATTAAGAAAAAATAGAACACGGAAAGAGAAGTGGACTACAAACAGTATTCAACAATTACGTGAACAAATCCTTTCTTAATCCTTTTTAGATTTGATAAGTTTTAAAATTCTATATTAAAAAAGGCCTTGAAACGGCTAACTAAAATGATTTGAGATTAAGTGGGAACTGGCTTGATCACTATTGTGCAAATAAGGAGATAGAATCAGTGACCAATGGTCTATGGTCTTCACCTCCAGTTTCCTTCTCCTGCACGGAGAAAAAATTCAGTGAATTTTGGCTCCAGAAGTTCGAGCAAAATTAATGTGCTCATCGTGAATCGGGGTGCAAAGCACATGCGAGAAAGAATCAGGCCCTTAACCTTAATTTTTACTAAGCGAGATATAGGAAAACGATATCATTGCGGAAGGAACATTGCTGTGCTCGTGCCATAAACTTTCTTTATTGGCTGAGTAAAAATTTAGCAGGTACATATCAATTTTTCCATCGTCGCAAGAAGAAAGGCGCTATCGGCCGAATAAAAATTATGCCTTTCCGCTCGAATTTGTAAATTGGCCGTAGAGAATAATTATTTGCCTATGAAACAAAATCATTGAATAATTCATAGTATCAATGAAGAGGAAGGAAGGGGAATAGACATCAAGAGAGATATATTATTTTTTAAAAAAGTAAAATTTATTCAATTCTTTTTACATCCACTTCTTAATTATAAATTTGCCTACATAAACTCATTTAACCTCAAATGAATGACTTTCGAGTAAAAACTGAAAAATTGCCGAGATTTCAATGGGGGAGAACAACAGGTGTAGATGAGTATTACGAAGCGCACAGCGAGAATGCAAATATCTCGTAGATATAAAACAAACTGAAAATCAAATTAAAAAACCCGAAAAAAACCCGAAAAGAACCAACCGACGTCATCATGCAATTGGGTCTGTACTTTATCATTTTCCGATTAAAAACGAATTTAATAGTTACCCAACTTTAATTGATTCTTCTCATAAAGTACCACTTTTCTATTTCACAAAATAGTTTCAAAAAACGTGTGTAAAAAATAAAAGTCTATGAGGTTTGACGGTGTATTTTAAAGACCTTACCCGAGGTAAAATATCCTCTTCAATAATTTTATACTGGTAAAACATAGAATTGGTTAACAAAGTATGGTTAACTCAAATGCAAACAGAATAACATATTGAGCTCAGATAATCTCCTTTCTTTACTATTTTCGGTAACGTCGGGAAGTAATCGGTGGGCATCGACAATCGTTTTATCCCAAACCAGAGGATGTCGTGAATATTCATAGGGAGCATCGTAAAAATCTCGCAGCAGCAAACAGGCGTGTGGCAATTTTCACAGTACTGGATCATCTTATGTCAATGATTCTTTCTTCGAGTTCGCAGTAATGCCTCTCAGCCTCAGAATTGTTACTGTGCTGTATAGGGAAATTTACTCATAAAAATATCAAAAAATCTTCAATTTCCTGTAAATACGCATGGTGCACTTAGGAATTGTTCTTAGACTCATCCATAAATTTCCCGATAAAAAATTTTGCACTTCGATTCCCGTGCCGAGCACAGTAATTTTTCTAGGATTTTTTTCTCAGTGTGGTTGAAAAGCCTCAATGTTTCAGGGTGATCTTGATCCCTTCCACATCATGGTTTACTCAAAAATATTGAGACGTGGGCGGACTTTTTCTTCTTCAACTACCAATGAGAATTGTTTCAGGCATCCCATGTTTCCGTCCACATTCCCTATTTAATTTATTTATTTTATAAATTATTAAAACTTCCAATAAAAATTACTGGGTGTCGTCGCTTGATTCGAAAACTTCATTCGTCATTGTAACAACTAAATGAAACCATTGAGTTGTATTGTTGAGCTGTATTCTCTTTATTAGATCTGTATATCTCTATTCTCATATCTCATATAGATAGTTTTTGCTTCCGACTGGAAGCATTACAATCGTTCGATTTTCCGATTTTCCCATTTTGCCTGGAAATGACGGAACCGGGCCTGCAGCATAAAAATATAAAATTAAAGCCATGTAGGTATGTGCAAATGATGAACTGAGGGTAAATTTTTACAAAAGATGAAAAATAAACGGGTAAACTATTTCCCAAAAATTTGAAATTCAGTCAGTTCATAGGTCCTAATATGGACTTAATGTACGCTAGGTTTCAGCTCTATCGTTGAGTAGTTCTTGAAATGGCGGGGATTGTTTCTGAAAAGTTGTTTGAGAATATCTCAGAAACTATACAACCGTTTTTTATTCTCTTGAAATGTTCGTCTTAATATACGCTATATGCATCCGTAAGAATATATATGCATGTTCCCACAAAGTTTTCGAGGTATTTCAATTTTCATGGTTTGTCGAAAGAATGCGTCTGATTTTTAAATATCAATCTATCAACTTGAAATTCTGAAATATCTCAAAAACGAATGAACGGATTTAAACGGATTTTTTTTTTATTCATTCTCATTAACCACTTAAGGACAGGGCGCTTTTGACACTGAGTTCGCCGCTCTCTTAATATCTGAAAGGTTTCGCGATTCAGTAATAATTTATAAAACAAATGACTTCAGAAAGCATGAAATTGTAAAACGAATCAAAATTGGGACTGAAAATAAGGCTGGGAACCCGTAAAAAGAATAAACATTGGAGAAAAATAATCAAAAGACATCAAAAAGGAAAAAATATGACAAAATTTTGGAAAAAATGCCCCTTCATTCTGAACATTCCATTGCTAAGAGGAAATTTGATGCCAAATTTCAAATTAGTGAATGAATTTTTCGCTATGTTACCATGCTAACAAAATTTTTTGTTAAAAAAGAAAAATTGGAATATTTAGAAAATTGAATATAAATGGATGGACATATTTTGATTGATTGAGATAGGGTACGTAAATTTTCATTCATTCATCCATTTTAAGGATTTGAACATTTTGATGAATCACTGAAAAATTAGTGCGTTTTATAGATTACTAGGCAATCATGCGCGCTATCGCACGCTTTACCTCTAAGTGAGCGCTGTAGTACACAATAACATCTTCGTAGTCATGGAAATGTTCAATCGATCCATCAGCCAATCAGAAGACGAATAAAAAGTTAACAATCAAAACAATCATTCATTCTCGATCAACTTTATAATAAAGGAATTATTTTATGTCAGTAATGCAGACCATAATGGCAAGAAATTTTCGTTCGATTAGTGTGATACCTTTAAACAGCAGGTAGAATGTAGTCTCCTGAAATACTGCTTTGACGGAGTTGAGTTTGGGCGTTTTCCTTTCATTTGTTAGTGTAAATAATAGGAATCGACTTGGCAACCACAAAATAATATCTTTATTTACCGGATACTTCTGCTTTAAAATGCTTGGCAAGTGTAATCCTACACTCCTCTCACGTACACATTCTTCCACATATCTCATAACACTATCCTTTCCAGATTATCGCAACAGTCATACTCGTTTTCTGAATTTCTTATTGGTTAACACTTTAGTAATTGATTGGTGTGTCCATGCACAGAACTGTATTTAAGAAGAACGGGACTGAACTATTTTCCATCTCGTTACTTTATTTATGATAACAGGAGGTTGATCACTATGAAGTTGTACGTAATTATGATTAATTATGACCCCAAAAATACTCGAATAGATGATAAGCGCCGGGCAGAGGGAATTTAACTGATTTCGGAATCAAGTATCAATATATCTCGAGGAGTTCGCCCCTTTGTACGTTCCTTGATGAAGCTAGGACGCGACTAATTAATTACCTCCGGAATCGATCTGACTTGCATCAGCAATCTCACAGTGATACCTCAGTCCAGTTCCCCTCAGAAGCTGTTTGACTGTGTGCAGACATTGTCATTGATAACGTTACGATAATGTTCGTGTACGAAATCGTGGGAGTGCTTAGCTAAGCATTTTGGGACTGAAGATTCTCTGAGGCCCTTCTAGAGAACAGATCCCAGTCAGACCTAAGCCCGGACATTGGTCCTGAAGATATCGAAAGCCTAGCCGCTTGAACCGAACCCAGTTCGACATCTTGTGTACTTTTGGTTAGTGAATAAACTTAATTTACCATCTAAACTCTCGTGTCAGCGGTTTTACCCAAGATCTTCCGTCCTAAATTCCAACTGGACGAATTCCCCCTGAGCTCAACTCACACCAGCTAGCCAACGGGAGGGTCAACTTGGCGACCCAGAGTTTCGGTTGAAAGTGTTACTCGGGGTCTGTTCAGTAGCCCGGCAATAGTGGAAAAATTGGTTGGTATTTGTTGTGAAAATACTGGAAAAGTATTGCTCATTTCTAAAGTGATGGTCTTTAATTCTTAACCAGGAATTGCACGATTTCGGTCAGTCGAGAACTTTCTTCTTTTTAAAAAGACTTTTAACATTTTTTTATCATGGTGAACCACTTTCTTCACTTCTTCACTTTCTATTCTAGAACATCAATACTTGATTTTTTGTATGAAAAAAAGTGTAATTGATGGTTTTTCTGACTTCCCTACTATACATATTTCAAATTTTGGCCTAAAAAGAGGGAAGTGTAGTGTTGATTCGCAAATGGAGGAGCGTGGGAATCGCACATCTAGTGTTCGGTTGTAAAATAAGGAACACATCAGTCGAGGTATGCAGGGCAACAAACCAATTTACCCATCGGGGGTGAATTTCGGTTGGGCATTAGGTCGTGGGTTTCGACCGTACGTGCGGGGAAAACCCCAAGTATGTACCTGGCCGAGAGGAAATTTGGAATTGTCTCTCACAAAAATGTTGACCTTTTTATAGTGGGTTCGGTGTGGGTCTCAGCGAGATTCAAGGGATCCCAGGAGTCTTTAGTTTTTAACCAACCGTCAAGGCGACACTAGACTTGGCCTAGATTCAAGATTTGCCATGTATCATTCAAACTATTTGTATAATTAAACATATTGTAGCTTCTGCAACGCTCAATGTGTTTTATTATCTCCTGCTAGTTGCATGCCATCGTTATTTATCCCTACAAAAATTTTAAATATACACATGTGGGAATTCCAAGTAATCATTAATCACATATTTTCATACAAACAATCAAGTATCGAGTTTTTAGAATAGAAGAAAATAAAATGAAAATATTGAAATAGGAAAAAATACACTACGTTTCGTCCTTTATAGCGCAAAATTGTTTCTTGCTAAATATCTGGACCAGGTCCACCAAGAAATAATAAACTGAATTTCAGGCTCGAAGTGACGGGCTCTTTAACACCACCACGACCCTGCCGTGGCTCTGGGTAACGCAAGGAGCGGTATAAAAATTTGCGTAGTTTCTGTTCTAATTGTTTCTGGAGACTCATTTTTCAAAAATTGGAAACGGAAAGAAAAAAACCTTAAATCTCGATACAAAAGCCGAAAGAATCGGAGCGGTGAACCTGTTCTAGACATTTACCAACATCATTACTTTAGAAATGATCAATATTCTTGCAGTATTTTTAAAATAAAATTTTGGTCAGTGTATACCAAGCAGCATTTTTGATGAAAAATTCCCTCAAGCATTAAAGGAGTATACTCCTCAATAGACCCTTTATGCTTATGTATCGGAATGCCTAGGTATTAACTTTTTTCAATTTATATATTTCACGTTACCTTAATTGTTGAGATTGTGCTTTTGTAGATGAACAGGACTTCCCACTGCTTCTCTTCTGGAAGTATGAATTTTTGTAAATTTATATTACATTAAAATTTCTTCAATACAAATAGTGGATATGATTTATACGCAATCATATCAGCTCTCTGCTGTACGCAGGGTTCGCGACGGTGATGCAGCTGGTATGAACCCCACCGTATACACCGCCCGAAAATTTTGTTAAAAATGGCAGTTTGAAAAGGAAAAAACTCCGTTCCGTCAATATTGTTATAGAAGTTATAAGTTATAAGAAGTTATTGATTATTAAAAAAAAATCCAAGAAAATTCAAATTGCCCGAACGGTGAGAGTAAAAAATTTTGAAGAAAATCATCAATGCGTAATAACCTAATAACCTACTATTACTCATAAAAAACTGAGCAAAGTCTAAATTTCGAAATTTCATTCGAATTTTGTTTTTTTTTTCGAGCAATGCCGTGTTACGTCAGCATGACGCACATAATTCTATTCTATTCGAATTAATTAATTCCAAATAAGGTTTAAAAATAAGAAAAGTTGAATAAATAAATAACAAATGAAAAAAAGAATCGAATTCAAATCCCTGTCCTTTTCTCGCACGAGTAGAACAAGTAAAAGTAAGTTAATGTTAAAATAACGCATTATCATTGGAGTCTTACCACCCTTGGTGCCAATTTAATATTCATACAACTGTCTCTAAACGGACCCCTCCCTACCTCACCTCCCGGAGTCTTCGGTCAGCCACCCCTCGCGCAGAAACTACGTTACGCAACACGTCCCCCTTCTTAATCCCTTCGCACTTACTCGGTCACACGCACCTAACATCCCACCTAATTCCCATACCTTCTTCTTATAAAAAATGCAGAGGCACTCATCAGTGCACCATGTACCCACCCCCACACAACTATTAACTTGTATCTGGATTAATATACACAAATTAATAATTGATGAGAAAGGGCGTTCTCAAACGGACAGTCAGTTAGTTCCGGTTTAGACGTAATACAGTACGCACAAAAAAAATTTAATTGATTTAACGGTGGAGACAATTACCAAAAAAGTGAAGGAGGGGCTGGTCACTTCTCATTTTGGTGGCTCAGTGATTTCTGGCATTCACTGATTTCCTGTGATTTCTCCAATGATTTCTGCGATTTCTCAATCAGAATTGGAAATCATGATTTCTGTTGTTTTTCAATGATTTCCCTGATTTCTGGTATTTTTCAATGATTTCTTGATTTCGAGAAGTCACTTTAGAAATCATCGTTTCTAATAATTCATATTTAATACTCCCAAATATAGAGAATTGTAATTGAATGAGAACATTTTCTTTTATTTGATCAAACGAATATTTAAAAATACAATATCAATCCTTAAGTTATTTAGAACATTTTTTTAATTTTTAATTTTTCAATGTTGAAATATCTACAAGAAGATGAAGCAATTTAAATTAATTGAATCCAGTAATTTTAATTTAAAATTATTTCAGTACAATTAAATTAATATTCGATACATCAACTAGAGACTGGGAGACTTGGACTGTAAAATTCTTGGAAAATTAGATGAAAAGTCGAGTGAAAAGTCTGGAATAATCTTCGTTAATTGTGAGCAATAATGGAAAATTTATCAGCGATAAGTGATGGGAAATAATGCAGAAGTTTGTTCAATTTATCATTTAATTTGTAAGGATGGTTATGAACCCGCAATAACAACATTATTGAAATCCCATCAACTTTGCGACGTTATAGCAATTCAAATCAATATTTTCGATTAATTTTACGATATTTTAATGCTTACTTGTTATAAATTATGAATTGATCACATCATGCACACTTACACTTTGAACAAGAAATGATAAATTGTGAAAATTGTGGGAATAAACTGGGAAGATACGGGGAAATCAAGCCGCTCCTAACTCGTCTCAAAACGCACCACTATTAACCTACGTTGAAACACGAGGAAACGCTTTTATATTTTGAGTTTCAGCGACACTATTTTCACCGCACGTTTGCTCAACGACAATGGGATAGTTCTTATTATGATAAAGCTGAAACTGCGAAATAATTTTTGTGGTCCCTGACTTATCCATGACTTCTTTGACTTCCGAAATCACTTTTCGTTTCGTTGTGATTTCTAGCGATTTCCAAAGATTATTGGAAGTCATCACCAAAAATAGAAATCATTTGATTTCCAGTGATTTCTCTTGATTTCTGGTGATTTTTTCAATGATTTCCAACCGAGTGGTTCAATGATTTCCGAAGTGACCAGCCCCTCGAGCAAACCACTTTCCTTATACATCCCTTGCCTTTCTTTTCGTATTAAATAAATAAAACTCAGCCGTGGAATTTAGTGGCAATGTGAAATACTCATCGTCACGCATTTCTTCATCAACAGCAATTTACTGGCGATATGATTTAGGTAGCATTACATATTCCAACTCTTATGGATGGCCATTCGTAACCAGTTAAATAAGGCCTCCACCAGCGCATCGTCGACCAGGTTTGCCTGTTCCTCCGCCAGGGTTGACTCGTGGTAGAAGGCTGGCACCACAGCCAGCTTGCCTTCACCCTCCGCTGATTCCCTGAACGAAGTTGCGCCCAGGTATTCCACCGTCCTCCGTATTTTTCGGAGTATGGAGATGGCACCCGGGGGTGTGGAACCGGGGGACCTAGATTTCTTGGACTCAGTCCGCCGTTCCTCCTCGATCCCCGGCTGCTGCGGAGGGTGCAGTTTCCGCTTGGCCTCGGCTTCCAGCTTCTCCGCTCCCGTACGCCCTTTTCGTTTCATTACGGGGGCCTTGCCGGTCGCCGCCGTGGCGGGTCTCGGCTCTTCCTCCCGTATGCCCTCGTCCATGGGCTTACAGTCCCCTGCGGGAGAACTGTGGTCCACGGCAGTTTCTGTTGCCTCCGACGTTCCCTCCGGGAGGGCACCGTTTTCGGCATGGGTTTTTTTTCAACTGTGGTTTTCATATAAATCCCACGAGCAGTCAGGAAAAGAACGGTCCATCCCCGCAGAGCCTGATTGCGGAGATTACGCACTGACACAATGGGGTGCTGCCTGGTTCCCCAATGGCATCGTTTGAGACACTGAAACCCCAGTGCCATTCAGTCATCGGCACGATTGGTTCCACCTTAGCTTGGGAAATTGGTCTGCGGCGCAGCGTTAGGGTTTCCCTTCGGCTTTTACGCCGTCGAATTACTTCTGTAACTGCTGCTAACCAGGTTTCTGGAGGAGTATGCGGGTCCCGTCCCCAGGTGCTTAGCAGCCCCTGTTTCCAGGACCGTTCAGCTCGACGGTCCCTCTGGCCTTTCTCCTATCCGCCACCTGGGGACGCACCACGGTCGGCACTCAGCCAATCCGTCTCGTCCAGTTTATAGGGCGCGTCGATGGCTATGGCGGATATTAAAGATAATATTCCCATATTTTCTGCAAATGATATGAAATTCTATTAAGCTTACAAAAAATACGTCAAGGGTGGAACGACGATATATATAGGAAAACTGCGGAAATACGACGAAAGCGAAATAAAAATCTGAGTTGCGCCAGGAGGGCACCACAAGTTTAATCGTTTGATAGTTGAGCCCATTTGCGTTCAGGTTGCATGGAGAGAGAAGACAACCTCTGACTGCCCTAGCATCTCAAGAAAGAGAAAAAGAGAGAGAGATAGAAGATGGAATAACCGCCCCGCTTTCTTATTTACATTATTTGAGGACTCAAAAATGGAAATGAACGCAATGTTGGAAACTTTAAAGAATTGAGGAGTTGAGAGGATTTTTTAGAATCATCCATTTAAATCCGTATCTTCTCTGTAAACTGCAAATGCAATTGATACACGGAGAGAAAAATCTATGAATTTTTATATTGTGATTCCGATAAAAATTACTGTGCTGCCTTACAATCTAGGTGTAAACTGCAGGCCTAAGAAAAATTACTATGCCATGCAGTAACATTTCTTCATCGGCCGAGCAAAACTTCTTTATCGGTCAAATAATAATTATATTAACTAACTATACTATACTAACTATACTAATCAATCATATTGGTTAAAAAATGTTTGGAGAAAATGCTGTGTAGCACAGTGAAAATTAAAAGAGAGCACAATAAAAAATACCGATCTGGATAGAAATTTTTGAAGGATTTCTATCAATTTTTCTTTCAAACTCAAACAAAAAATGATAGACCTTCAAATTTTATAGTACTGTTTAGTAAATTTTATGGAGCCACACATGATTAATTACGGAATGTATAAGAAAATTTGACATATTGATAGTAATCTTTATTTCTGAATCAAAGAAGTTCTAGTATTCCAGCATTTTGCACCACGACTGTAGTGCTCGGCATAGGAATTTTTTTCGGACTTTTCTCTCCGTATACTTACGAGAGTGAGCATGATCAACAGCCAATGAGATAAGGTTGTTCATTTTTGCAAGACTTTCCCACTTTGCGATGAGATTAGTTGATGAGTACTAACCTTCAGTTGTCAAAAATTATCCAGATCGTTAAATCGATAGATGATGAGTCACAAGTATGCCGTCTTTAGCAATCTCGATTTAAATAATGCTGCAATATGTAGACGTGCACAGGCACGTCATAGGATCATTCTTAGTTTTGATGAGCTATGGTCACCTCTCATGAAATATGATGCTTAAGGTAGTATTCTCGGTGCATCGTGAGTCAAGCTGGAGTACTGATGACTTTGATTCACGCCGTAGTTTGGTATGACAACATTGCTGAACGGCTTGCATGCCTATGTGATGCGTTTCTATGTGTGTGTTGTGTATCTGTAACGCCAGCATCTTCAATTTTCTGATGGACAAAGTGTTTAATGCATCCGGAATCGTGTCATCGATTACAGTAAATTTTGTAAATATGTGTGATGCTTAGTCTCAAGTTGTCAACCGCAAGAATACATGTATTCAGTCTCTAATGCGTCTAGGAAAAACTTCGGAAATTATCACAATTTTCAAATTACTATTCTACGGGATTCCGTGCGCAACTTAGATATTCACATAATTTCACATAATGTTCAACGAAATATCCGCATA